TGATTAGGTTGTTTTTTGTGTTGTGTGTTTTTTATTTTGTGTATAACAGAGATAGATAAAAATATTTGGCTGTTGGGTAGAGGAAAGGAGGGGGGGGGGGAGATAATATACTTTGTGGGGGGGGTGGTGGGGTGGGGGGGGGGGGGGGGGGGGGGGGGGGGGGGGGGGGGGGGGAGTGGGTGTGCTGGGTTGATCTACTCAATCTTAGAACTAAGCTGATTATTGAGCTGTCGTTTACTTATTTTTAACTGGCCAGCGTCACACCAGCAACAGCGTCCGAGGATTCTTTCAGGACCGAGCCATCTCATGATTGGGAAAAAGCATGGAAACATAACATTTGACTGGACTTTCAAACTCCTCCCCGGAAGGACTTGGATCGAGAGCGTGGAAGACGTGGCTTTCGGGTTGTGGAAAGCACCAGGGTATCTGCAGACAAAACTCATGGTTATCGGCAAGCATGGGAAAATTATGACTCGGCAAAACTACGGGAACAAAATAAGTTGCGCTTTTAACATGTCTCGTCTGCAAGTCGCATTTACGGTTCATAATTTAAGCCCAGGGGATGAGAACGATTATGGTCTTCACGTAGAGCTTGGCTTGGCACGGAACCCATTAAAAGATGTCGTTGCGCTTCGCCTAGAGGGTAATATCATATTATTAAATAGTGCTAAAAATGTAATATTATTAACTATTATTTATCACTAATTTAGTTATCATACATGTTATCATATTATTAGATATAAAAGTGCGGAAACTCTGTTTTGTCAGAATCATATAAATTAAATGTAAAAAGTATAGTTTCAGCGTTGGTAGAGATTTCCTCGACGTACTTGAACTGCAGGGCCTCTTTTCGTTGTACAAACATTTGTGAGAAGTGTTTTTATGGATTATTTTATTGTTATTGACAATGTTTCATGCATTTACTACTGGTAGATCCACCAAAAATTGTCACTTCCCTGGAGAGAAACATTTCCCTGAAGGCTGGAGACAATTTGGTATTGAACTGCAGGACGACTGGACTTCCTTCTCCGCAGGTCACGTGGGCACGGTCTGGAAGAGTTTTTAGAAATGATACCCTAGTTGTAAACCGACTGAGCAAAAGAGACGTTGGTTTGTACCTGTGCAAAGCTCACAGTACTGCTGGGGAGGACAGTATGAAGATTTTTGTTCGAGTTGAGGATGGAGATAAACCAACTCAAACAACAGGTAGGCAGATCTAGTCATCTAGTGTCTAGGGTTGCAGTAGCGGATCCAGGGAAGGGGCCCGGATTCTGGTGTTTTTTTTTATTGTAAGCGATAATTATATAAATGACTTCCATTGGCTAAAACTCTAGATAACGTAGAACTCATCATAGAATGAGGAAAATCATTTCAGTACAGTTTACTTTATATACTTACTTCTTTTTCTGTTTTCAGTTTCAGCTTCTGGTGCAACTCTTTCACAGCCCCGGCTTAACAATCATAAGTGGATATCAATTTTGATATTGGCGGGCTCAACATTAATACTTGCATCGATAACATTGACAGTGATTTGTTATTACAAGCGCAGACGATTGAAAAAAGGCATTCCCTACTCTTCTCAGAGAGATTCTGAAACAACTGCTCAATTGTAGACCATTTCTCACCTTTACCTAAACCCACCATTAAGCTTGTTCCATTCGGATTGATCATGAATTCTAAAAACATTATTAAGTATTAAGCAAAACGCTACTCCTTTCATTTTACTGGATATAGATTATGGACCAAAAAAACTTTCAAGCTTTTGTTGGACATTATAACCGTATCCTTATCCGTATTCGAACGTGACTTTCCCAAACAAAATCCAGTTCAATGTCTGAGTCAAAGCAGGAACCAGAAATTTGTGACGTCATTAGTGCAAAGCGCTTTTCAGTCTGTGAAATAAATCCAGTGATAATAACAATAATGATAACTAGAAATACCTGTATCGCAGAACCTCGCGAAGCTTGGGGGAAGAGGCCCGTAAAATGTTAGAGACGGGAGGCAGGGAGAGAAATAGTAAATTGTGTAACTGGAGAGGGTGGGTTTCAGCAGCAGCTGTAATAATGTAATGAGATATACTCAATCTCCTTTTGGTTGGAGTAAACTAGAACCAAGTGCCCTAGCCTAGCTTTAAAAAGGATATGGGATTGAACTGGGTATGCTATTATTAAGGCAGGGTAGGCAAAGTTGTGTAGGTGTCGTTTTCACCCTATTTGATCCTCCTTCGTGTGAAGTTGTTGTCCAAAGGAAATTGGTGTGGCAGTGGATGACTGCAGGCTAATAAGTGATGGCATTTGCTTAACAACAGCTAAATTGTGCCATCTCCTATAATAATATTACAATAATTATTTTTGAAGGGTGTCAGTATAGTTTCCCTGACCAAATGAATTTTAAACAATTTGTCCTGATAATGTCCTCCAACCTCCCATCAAGGGCATCCGACCACTAATTACATGAATTTATCCTAATGTAAAGTACAAAATGGGTTGATTTTCAGGAAACCCTAATGAAAAGAACTTCTGCTATTCGAACATGTTTAACTTCTGTAAACTGATGTATATATACCAAAGATCAGAATTTTTAATATTAGGAAACAATGAAAGTAGCATGGCAACCATACTAATATTCTGAGGAAATCTGAAATGCAGAATTTTTTTTTAAAATAATAGAATCGAAATGTAAGGCAAGGCAAAATTTTTGCTACGTTTGACTTGAAAGACACAGCGGCTGCTACATATTGTATTTTAAATGGGATGGATTATAGCAAATAAAAATTTTGTTGTGTAGGACCTTGTTTACAAATGCAACGCTTCCCTACAATGTACATGTCACACATTATCAGTTCTAGACTGTCCGATCACTCTGAACCAGTTGTTGCTCATGGTGTAATGGCTGATCGCCTGTTCTCAGCTCAGTCCGTTCAAAATATATCGCTCACGTGTGTTTTACAGATCGTGTAATTCTTACTGCCTGTCGTTGAATCGAAGAACATATAAGCTGAATTTCGGCTGCAAACTTCCGGGAATGCACTGCCTCTCCTGATCGCTTTCGTTGCGAATCCAGTTGGCGTCATTTTCTCGTTGTAATTGCGGTATTTTGTCCCTCTGCATTAAAAGAGAATTGAATTTAATTGAATACAGAGGCAGCGAAAAATACCGCAATTACAGCTGTCTGTACATGTCTGTAGTCGCTGTAGCCTCTCCTCTGTCTCTTGTCGACGGCTTCTTCTTCGCTGGGCAAAACGATGTTCCTCTTTCTTCTCTCTGCTGCGGGGTTTGTTGCTGTACTTTGCTGTCTTCTTCTTTTTTGTTGCTTCCGCTGAATTTCAATTCGGCTTTCTGTTGTTGCTCCAGAGGAGCTAGTTCTCCCCGGCAAGAATTTGCATCCACTTTTTGAATGCAGAGTTGTTTTTGCTTTTCTGGGTCAGTTNCTTCTTCTTTTTTGTTGCTTCCGCTGAATTTCAATTCGGCTTTCTGTTGTTGCTCCAGAGGAGCTAGTTCTCCCCGGCAAGAATTTGCATCCACTTTTTGAATGCAGAGTTGTTTTTGCTTTTCTGGGTCAGTTACATTTGAACAACAAGATAAAACAAAAAATAATGAAAACTGACTTTCATTTCCACATATCCCGGAAAATGTATGCATTACTAGTATGCACTGACCTCACCAACACTTCGAGCTCTTAAAGTGATGTTACAACCTACGATTCTTAGCGTAACACGGCGTTGCAATGTTGGAACAATGTTGTAACAATTCTAAACAATGTCGCAACAATGTTGCAACGCTGTGTTGCGCTAAAAATCGTCGTTGCGAATCGTGTCGTGTCACATCAACTTAAAGCTTTTTAACTCACCCCAACAAGGCATAATTTATTACAAGCGGTAGAGTGATCAAATCAAAATTTGTAGACCCGGGCCTACAGGTCTGGTTACGCCCCAGATAATAATAAATAACGTCAATTCTTTCAAGTTATTCCAGTTTTTCCCAGCTTAAATTATGAACCAATATAACTAATTAAAAAAGGTCAGTTTTTTTATCGCGAACTTGTAGCTCTTTTTCATTCTTAACGTCTTTTATTGTATCGTTGATCATCAAGATGCTGAGTTGTAGAAGATGATGACGAAGGCAATGACTATAATGACGATAATGATAAAGAAGATGAAGATAATGATGATGATTAAAACAATAATCATCCTAATAATCACGGTTTCTGGAGGTTAATGTGCTGTTAGGCTACCAAAAAGTAAAAACATTAAAGCAACGAGGAAGATTTCTAATAAAGTATTTATTTCTAATTATTAACTGCATATACATGTATTACATTCCACTAGTGACTAAAATTACTATGTAGTGCCTTTTTATTGTAACAATTAGAAGAAAAAGGCGATTTTTCAAATTTTATCTCGAATAATAACTAACAGCCCAAACATCTTCGCAAACTTCAAGACAGCGCCGCGATAGTTTTCACAGCAAGGCCTTTACACCATTAGTTCTATAATCGAAACCAATATATAAGGTCGGTTCAATCTGTTAGACATACTCCAAAACAAAAAGCTAACATATCGTGACGATCTACTTAACAGAAAGAATAGGTTGGGCTGTACTTTTTACGAAACAAAATCATGAACGATGAGGCTTTTTGGGCGGGAAATTCCGTTCCACCCTCTTTACCAATGTTGTCAGAAAATGAATCAACCTATTTTTATTCTTTTAAACGCCTTTTTCTCAGACCTAAGAAACAAACTCTTCCTTCATGTTCAGGTTAACAAACACAGGAACCATCAAAAGCGCTCCAAAACATCCAAGAAATCCCTGAAAAAAGAGAATATATAATTTTTATTAAATCAAAAATTTACGTGGTTGTATAACTAAAAACTTGTAACAAGGTATGTCAAAGATGCATTTAGGTCAAACGATTTTAGAAAAGTACTGGCTATAGCACTGAAAACCCGTTTGAACTTTGAGGTATTAATGCCAGGGTGGAAGTCTCCATTTTTTTTAAGGTGATAAGTTCTGATACCCTGTTTACAGGTAGCCATTACGACACTGGAAAGAGGATCATAAGGTTATCCCTGTATTAAGATTTGTCCTTACAGATAACCCATCCAGAGAAGGAAAGGTTGGCCACACCACCGGGATCTACCTTCCCTACTCTTTTCGAACAGTGGTGTGGGTTCTTTTACGTCCCACAAGAGAACCAGATATGAAAGTGCTGTGAGACGGGACCTACGGTTTTTTGTCCTTATGCGAGAAGACTAGAAAGTCTAACCGTTTGCAGCATGCAGATGTCATTACAAAGGCAGGACTTTCTTCTCAGTTATTTAAGACCCTGAGTGTTGGTCCGGCCGCGGTTTGAACCCGCGACCGCCCGCTCAGCAGACAGGCGCTCTTCCAACTGAGCTGAACCAGGCGGCGGTAAAAACCTTCAAAAGTAGGTTGAGTTTGATTGTCCGCGTAAACGTAGTCCTGAATAGGACTGTTGTTCTTGAGAAAGGCAGGCAAGCAAGAAATTTTACAACAAATGTTCCGAAAATTCTAGATCTCAAATCGTCTTCCGAACAGATATTTTCCGAAAATTGACGTTGGGTGCCCCTGAGAATACGTTATACATGTCGCAGAGTCCCAGTCAATTTGATGTTTCGTCTGTAAATGGTGCTCAGCAATGTGATTGTTGACGTCACCATTCCTCGTCGCTCGTTTGTGTTCGGTTAGGCGCGTGCTTAGGTTTCTGCCGGTTTCACCAATGTAAGAAGCCTGGCAGTCGCAGCATTTGATCTTGTATACTGCTCCCTGTCTGCTCCCTGTCTGGTAAAAACCTTCCTGCTTTTGGAAATTATGCCAAAAATGCTAAAAAAAAAACTACAAAGAACTTTGGCATAATTCTCATAACAGCTGTACTGAGTTTTACGAATAGTCTTTCACGCACTAGCCTTTATTTTAGCCTTAAGACAAGTTTCGTTTATTCAAACCTCTTCAGTTTGGCATAACTGAATGATTATCAAAGTACTAAAAAGAATAACAGGAAAGGTTACATCACAACTGAATTCTTGAAAAATGCAAAGAATCATTCTTGTTGTATCTCTTTCATTGTCTTCCTAGGTTCGACTGCAACCTCATTCTTCAGTCGTCCTCGGCGATTTCGGATATGATGTCACCTTTCAAGCCTGTTTAGCGCGAACTGGCTTGGGGACGAAGCTGGTGTCCATTTTCAGGCATTTGAGGGAGTCCAGTTTGCTTCGGCCTCCTCCCATTTTAAGCCTAAGGAAATGTGGGAGCACAAATCGGCCGTTAATCGAGCCTATTGTCTATCTAGCTGCTCATGACTTGGAAGACACTCTCAATCATCTAAGAACTACTTATTACTCTTAAAGACCGCGAGTATCACTCACATTATCTCAACTAATAGAAAACATGCTAAAAGCATATTTACCATTGGAAAAGTCCGTAAAAAGTTTGCAGCAGAGGACGTCGTTGGAGAAGTGGAAGGGGATGATCCTGCAAATAGATCACAAAAGAAGATTAAATCGAGGGCCTGTTTTTGATAATAATAATAGTAATAATAATAATAATAATAATAATAATAATAATAATAATAATAATAATAATAGCAATAAGAAGAAGAAGAAAAAGAACAAGATCAAGAATAACAAGAACAAGAAAGTTCTTTTTACAGATGGCTAGCTCTGTCACAAAATGTGGTTTTCAGTAGGTCACTGCATAGCAAAAAGAAAATTGCTCCTGTACTAAAAATGACAAAAACTAAAATTAAAAGAACAAGTGAACTAAGAAAAATTTACACCTAAGCCGAGGAGAAAACGAACAGCTACACAGAAAACTTCAGGTGCAGATGTTTTATCGTCTAGGAAAAAAAATCAGAAAAGCCTTATGATGGATGGGGGAAAGCAAACCACCCGCCCGCTCCCCTTTACTTCCGAGGGTTAAAACGGGTCAAGAAAATTAACCACTGGAAAGGTCAGGATGAACCATCTCATGCTACTTCTTGTCTACTAGGGATTTGCAGATGGTACCTACGTACTACCAATTTGCTTGTGGGGTCAATTACAACCAGCCGCGCAAGCAGATGTGCGGGTTGAGAAAACGAGTGTGTTCGGAAGGCAAATCAGACAGTCTAGTGACCACCAAGGACGTAGCTGTCTTTAAGTAATTAAGACCGGACTTAACAAAAAAGGTGGGTTCAAATGAGCTCATGTAATCGAATATTAAAAAGGCGTGAAATTGCACCTAATACAGCTAGGTTCTAACAGAATGTCTGTCGAGGTGATATGTAAAATTGGCACATGATTCACTTGGAAAATTTATCGATGAACGCCATCTTGGTTTTTCAAGAAGATGCAAAGGGATCCCCTTTTTTATGTACTTTTATTACCTGGCAGAATCTGATCATATAGGTTAAAAACTCGTAATTTTGGAGGAGCCGTTGTCAAAATAGCATCTAGTAAATAGTTTTGTCCTTCTTTGCTTTGTTAGGCTTTATCTTTTGTTCTGTTTTGTTTTGTTTTTGTCTTATTCTGGGAGCGAACTTATAATAAGGAATTGGCCACCACTTTAATTTTGAAAGCCTTAAGTAGCTATGAAGCCAAGTGAAAGGCTCCTAAAAAAGAGTTCATATTATCCCCTTTCTACAATTCGGGCCTAAAAGAAAAAAATGGCTGGCTTACACCCCTGACTAATGACTATGATGACTCAAGACTTGGCTTATTTTTTTCAGTCTTCCTACCTACCCAAATCGATTCAGTCGATTGGCTGAACTTGAAAGACTTCTCTAAGTCTCCAGGTTCTAAAATATCCGAGGTGTTTTGTCATTTTTGAAATTGTAATTTAAGTGTAAAACGTTATCCAATAATCAGCCAATTAGTTTGCTAAGACAAATGAGTGTAGGACGTATTAACGAACAGACTCTGTACCACACATATAACTTTTAGATTTATACTTGACGAGCCTCTCGAACCAGTGTAATGTTCTATTTTGTTGGTGTTAGTAGCGATTTATGCACCCATCAATGTAAAGCCGGAGGGGGGGGGGGGGGGGGGNCTTTGTTGTCCCTGGGGTAGGGCATTTGACTGATCTTGTTCTCCCGGGGGAGGGGATATTTGAATCTTTCTTCGCCCGACGTGGAGATATTTGACTGCCGACTCGGACGAAAAAGATTGATACCGAACATGTTTCCAGCTTCCACGCTTCACGGATGTGCCATGCGGTTTGAAAAGATCAGGAAGTCATGGAGGCTAATGAAAACAAGCGAAGGCTGAGTTGATTTCACTGTTTTGTCTTTAAATTTCGTTTGTTTTAGCGTGTTTTTGATCAATTGAACCTCCTAAAATACTGTGGTATCAAAGTAAACGGAAGTAAAGAGAAACTAAGTCGATTTTGCAAGTACAATTGATTAGTGTATGGCTCATTCGCTACAATCACTGTAAACTTATAAAACTGACTTTCTTTGTACCTTTTACTAAGAACGGTATATTTAGACTTACAAAATGTGGACTTTCTCCTAAAGGTTTATTTATTCTACGCAGTGTAACACGGATTATGGTTAAAACGTATAATTGCAGCTGTAACAGGAACATGTATCTTTGTTAATGCAGCAACGTTTATAAAAGATTGCAGAGTTTTATAATTTTGGAGATATTTTTATTGTGCCTTTCTTAGGTTCTGCCTTGGGATTGACAGCAATGTGCAGCCTGGGGTGGGGAAATTTGGTTGCATTTGACTGGAATGATTTGCCCGTGGGCAGGGAATTTGATTGCAAATTTTTGAAAAAAGTCAAATCCCCACCCTATGCCCTGCCTCCCCCCCCGCCGGCATTACATTGATAGGTGCATTAGGAAGAGCTTTGAATTCGTCTGACATGAAATTTGACAGCCCCAAAAGGTGGAAAATGCTTTTTCTTCAAACCTCCAACAAAAAACGGGCTTCACTTCAATCAAATTCCTTAAAAAAAACAAAACAACAACAACAACAACAATCTATTCATTCAAGTGACTTAATGTATGGTAGGCCCTAATCCTATTCAGAAGTAACTATCTCTGACTGTCACAACAAACTAAAAATATCCACCAAGTAATTTTGACGATACTAATATCTTGATTAAGGTCTACGGTCACTTCGTTCTATGGTCAGATCGTTCCAGACCAGGTCGTCTCTCATTTTACCAGTCAAATCGTTCTACAGTTTTAGTGTGAAGCACTCTCTTTTGGCTTCTTATTACCTTAAAGAACGTGGTATACACAGGAGTAATGCACTTGTAACTACTCGTGGCTTCTGAGACTCGTGAAACGTTCTAACTATATATTGTTGAATTATTTGACTATCTGGCTTGGATCGATCTGACCATGGAAAGAAGTGGCTGGATACTCTTGACTGGAGACGCTATAGCGTCTGTAACGAACGCCACAACACTAAACAGTTCCTACCGTTGGTTGGATCTGAAACTCTGGTTGACATTACAGAAGTTGAAGAAGTCGTTGAATTTTCTGAAAAAAGGGGGAATAAAATAAAATAAAATAAACGCGAAAAGATTCAAACGGTTTGCGTAAAGCATTCCACATTTCTTTAAATTTTAAACTAAAAACGTTCAGCGTAATTTGAATTCTTAATGGGTTAGGACATTGAGTTTCTATTTACTTGATTTCTTCTTGTATTCACTTTGGAATACAGTGGAACCTCGATATAACGAAGGGCCACGGGACTACCAAAATTTGTTTGCTATACCGAGGTTTCGTTATATCGACGTTCTTTTACTATTACTGGGTAAACTGAAAAACTCGGCGTTCAAGTTCGTTAAATATACAGAGAACTTCTTTACATAGAGGTTCGTTATGTCGAGGTTCCACTGTAGATGGTAATTTAAAATTATAATATGCTTTCAATAAAATCTAGCCGAATCAAAAATCCTCACTCTGACCGACATTTTTGTCATGTAATTGTGCACCCGTGCCATTGATGAAAATCAAACAACAAACTAACCAATAGAGAAACTGTCTCACTCACCGTCGACTTTCAGGTGTATCACGTGCAACGTCGTATTAACAAAGTAATCGCGGCAAACACTCTTGAATTTAGCTTGAACTTCATAGGACCCTTCATCGTTTGACTTGGTCTCGTTAATACTTAGCAATAAACGCGATGCATTATACTTGTAAAACCTCGACCGCTCGCAGAAGCTCTCGCCAGCTTTGCAGTTTGCTTTGTCGGATCCTCCGTTCAATGTGAAAATTACTTTATTCCAATTTTTCGTTACACGATAGTATCTAAAACACTCGCTGGTATCATTTGGTCGGCAGAAAGACATATCAGCCACTTCTCCAACACTGACGTTAACTTCTTGAACGCTATAGTAAGATACCTCGCACGAGTCACCTGTAAAAAAAATCACAGTGATTATTAGGGCTTTACATGTACACATGCTAATCGCGGCCGGTTCTCTCGTGCGCATCATAATTAATCGCTCTGTCCAAGCGAGACTCACATTAATACACGTGTATGAGCATCAACCCCACAAGAACGCTTTGAAAGAGTGAGAAATATTTTGTAAAGCACCTAACTAAAACTATTTCATTGTATTTGTTACTGAGTCGAAAGCTTAGAACTCGTGTCGGGTACCATGCAATTTTCTGAGGTCGCTTGCTCTTAGGCACGTTTTAGCCCTTTGGCTAAAATTAGCCTTCCTAGACTATGACAAAGCTCAGCCAGTCAAAACGCTTAAAGGAAAACACACTCACCTATAAGATATAGTGTAAAGAAGTAAACCAGAGCGAATGAAGAGGCTTCTAAAGATTTCATGGCTAGCTGTTACTAAACTTAGCGTGAAATAGGGTGTGACGGTCCTGACAAAAGAGGTATTATAGTCACGTTTTCTCGCAATGTCTGAGGTTGATTTCTCTGACGTCGAACTTAAGGACGCGTCTAACCAACAAACCCACAGTACGTGCTCATTTTTGCGTGACAAGTTAAAACTCCCTATTTTTCCCGGAAAGTTATTATTAGAAACCGGAAAAAACCTTTTTTCGCGAACGAAAGAAAAATAAAGCAATCTGACTGAAGCGTGAACTGACCATGTCTAGTAACAATTTCAATCTCTTGCAAGATCTCTCACAAAAGTACAGTAGTAAAAACCCGCGAGTATTAACTTGCATTTTCCCATGTTAGCCTAAACAGGTCCTTACATACATACAGTGTAAATGGTAATTAGTATTTCTTGCTTAGGATCTGCTGAGTTGTGGTTAAGTTTAATTTCCTCATTTAGTAAATTTCCTTGTTCTTTTTCACTAACAGCATAGGGTCGCTTTACTATTAATAGTATCCAAGAACTCACTTCAACCACGTTACTCGCATGTCTTGCATCTTGTCAAGACCAGGGGAGTATCACTTTTGATTCGTTGGTTGCCCGGTAAGAGCCTTTTCGAAATGAACGCGGAGTTAACAACCTGAAAAGCTCTAACGGCACGGCTGCAGAGGACAAAACCTTGGCATGAAGACGAGCTGAAACGCGTATGTATCCACTGAACACAAAGAAAAAAAGTCATCGAAGGACTGACCTGCTTTTCTCAAAATCTGCACGGCATTCACCTAAAAAAAAAAACAAAAATGGTAAGTAGAAATAATTATTAATAACCAGAAAATGAGCTTACTCGTTTTTTTATGATGATTATTACTATTTAAGGCAGGTCACTGCGCTCTTTTCAACCCTTCGATTTTGTTCTTCGCTACAAATAAAAACGCTCATGTGACATTTGTTTTTTCCAAAGTAAACTATTTACGAATATGGAGTCACATTTGGCGTTTGAATTCAGTCTAGAGCGTGGACTGCGTAGAATAATCGGGTTCGAGATTCGCACTGGCAGTATTCAGAGGATACAACTGAACTTCTGTTTGCTTTTTATTCCACTGACTCGACAAGAAGAAAAACAATTCTTAAAGAGAATTCTTTTTTATTTTGGCCTCAAAATGGCACTAGAAAACTCCCACCGGCACAACTTCACGAGGAAAGTGCCCAACTGATTCTAGTTTGAATGCATTTTCAGAAGCCACAGATGTTATACCTAAAGTAAGTGAAACATCCCCGATTCTGCTTTAGTCTGACGTCACATGTAGCCAGGGAGAAACCGCGGAATTAAATCACAAATTTTCGGAGGTTATTTTTCGCTTTTTAGTACCAAGGTATTGCGATTATTGTTAAAAAAAAAAGGTCTCCTGAAAATTTGACTCTATTGTTTTCCAACTACGTTCCTTGAAACAGTCCGTGTGCCAGTTTGACGTCTGACATAGCAACGGGCGATCAGGGGAGAGCATGCAGTCGGGTTGCTTGTGCAAATTAGCAAGGGATAACACAGTCATTCGGGAAAAGACAGTGCTAGACATCGCTAATCTGATCATAAGTGTGAGCTTTGTTTTTGCTTTTATCTGCTTGTGTAAACCGACTTGCTATTTTGTGTCTTTAATTGAGTTGCTAGTTTGTGTCGCGAGCCGTTTTGCGGGATCGCTATCTTCTTAACGGGACCAGCAAGGTGATAAACTCATAATGAGTGGAACCGTGGCGCAGTGATCACTCTAGGAGTTGCTTGCACGTGCGGCTGAACTAGGTTCGACTCCCGACGAAGTTGTCTTCTTTGTTGCACAATTTTTTTCTGCTTAGTTTTTGTTTTAATCCTCTTTTTTTCTCTTTGGCTTGTTTCCCTTTATTCTTACTACTGACCCTTTACAGCGTCGCGAGGTTCTGGCGATAACATAGTTTTAGTAACCTTGGTTTTTTGTGTGTTTTATTTGTGGACTTTTGCGTTATTTTTAAAATAAGCTTTTTGAAAAATTGATTGTGTGGTCTTTAATTGCCTATAAATTGTTGTTTGCTGCATGCTTAATCCTTCCAGTTAAAATGTTGCTGGTGGTTGTTTTGCTGTTGTCATTTGCATGGTGTTTTTGAGAATTGTTAATTGTTAGCTCGGCAATAGTATGGTAATATATATAAAGTTTGGTACGCGAAGCGAACTTTAAATGAATTGATATAGGGATCCACAATCCATTGGCACTGAAGGGCTGAAAATACGCACACTTAAAGCCTAGTATTTTGACGAGCCTCATATTGCTGTGCTAAAATCACGCTGGGCACTTGCCCTCAAAAGTGTGAGATTTGCTTAAAATTCATTGCATACTCTACGTTTCACTGGAAAAAAGTCCCAAAGTTCTGTTGTCTGTTCAACACTTTTGTCCAGCTCCTCGATGAATACTTTACTTGCCACTATTGATCGAAAGTCACTGACGGGAGACGTGACGATATACTGTCCCGAGAACTAAATCACCGATTTTCTTGGAAAAACCTCCCCCTCCCTCCACCCTCCCGCCGAAAGCAAATATACCTTGTACTTCCTTTGGTATTGTATGGGTATTACGAAATTCAGGACTCTAAAATTAACAATTAAAGGCTGTCATCGCAATTTCATTGAAGGGGCAGTTTCCGTAGGGAAGTGAAACAAGGATTGTTTACCAATTATGGAAAATGAAAATGGCCCGTTGACGGTATTTAGCTAACGATAAACACAACTAAGACCTTGTAAATTTTTCTTTCAAATCGCGATTACCATTTGCAAAAATAAGTTCTGTTAATCGAATAAATAATGCCGCCAAAGCCTGAATCGAGCCTGAAAATTGAATCAAAAGTTTGAAGAAATGATCATGAAACTCTGGTTTCCGTTTGGAAAATTTCTACTAACAAAACAGGGGTGCGTACCATTCACACAAACCATCCGGATGGGGATCTCTTTCATAAACATAAAACTATTTGACGTAGTGGGAGAACGATCCGCTACAAAGTACATCTAAATCAGCTTTGCAGGCTAAAAAGAGTAGAAAAATTGCATCGCCTGAATTATATATAACAGCACACGTTTTCTGAAGCTTCTCAAATGGAATGGCGCCAAACATTTGATTCTCATCCGTAATTGCCGGTTTTCATATCTTGACAAATGCAGTGGAACCCCGATATGACGATATGCCAATTAAGGGAGCAGTGTGAAATTATATCGTTATATCGAGGAATCGTTATATCGAAACTCCCGATATAACGATATGGTCGTAAAATTACTGAAAAAGTCATTATATCGGGGTAAACCTAACATGCACTTTTCAACTGCATACATTATTTACGTCCTGTAATTACATTTGTAATGAGTATCAAATGATTCACAAATGTATCATTTCAAGCACGCAGCAATGTCCTTAAACAGTATGCAAATTAAGCATGATTTAATTTAGAAGTTTTCAAAGTTGATTATACACTTGCAGTAAATTCTGTGGTGTGAATCGTACAAGTGAAATAAAACTGAACTTAAACATTTGAAGTTGCGACTGCTATAATCTTTACTTATCGAGTTGGCGTGTTCATTGCTTTTTGATGCATGATTGCGCATGACACAATTGCAACAGTCCTTCTTTAGTCGTTTTTTTGTTTCAATGTTTCTGTTATCAGAGTTATGTACAGCCCAGGACCAAGTCAGAGTTAACAGAAACGTTAGCGATTACTTTACTCGATTACTGTAATATAATGTTATTGTGTGAGATTCAATGTTTTGCTAAATTTGTGACTGACTGTACTGATAATATCTTCAGTTATATCGGGAAAGATTTTACGGTCCGTCCACTGAATGCTCGTCCTTTTATCGGAATATCGTTATATTGAAGATCGTTGATATCGGGGTTCTGTCCCATACATTTTACTGTAACTTTGGCCGGGACATCGTTATACCGGGAATATCATCATATTGGGTTTCCACTGTGGTAAGTAACCCAGGACTGGACCTTTTCAGACGCTTCCTGAAGCTTTCCTGAAGTACCGGATCAGTCTTAGAACTTTTGAAAATAGCAACCCAGGATATATAACACCTACTATTTCAGTTGCGAGAGAAGTAAAGATTAACGCAAATTCAGTAATCCGTACAAAATTAAAACATGCACACATTCTCCTGGTCTACAATGTTAAGCAAGAACGGTAAAAGGAGGAGCACGGGAAAAGGGGAGATGGAAATGGGGAAAAAGAGAATAAATTGGGAAATAAAGTTACTGACAGTATAGGTTCCCAGTCCTCGCTTGTTTATTTTTGGTTTGTTTGTTTTTTTGATGTGTTAACGCCTTCCATAGCTTTCTTTTTCAAAATTATCCGGTGACTCCTATTGGTCCCCGTAATCCCCTTGGCTCGTGCGTTGATTGGTTATTAGCTTTGCAGCTGGTAAACATTTTTGGTTTGAGGAGGAAGTGTTTTCTTCGAAAGCTGTATAAGGACCCGAAGGGCTTGTGCTCGTGAACTTTTTTCAGAAAATGATGCAATCATTGTAAAAAAACCTGCTGCACATGCATTTGGAACGACTATTCTCGCCAAGGTGCTACATTTTGTTAAGGCTATTAGTCACACTGAATTATCCGCGAAAGGCAAACTTAAATTTCTAGGAAGACAGCTTCCGCTTCAAGAAATCTTAAACGAACGGCATCCACGATGCTATTACTTTATGTTATTATGAACCTTTACATTTCAGGTAAGTTAAACAAAATTCTAAAATCAGTGTTTTTAATCTCCTACCTCGATACTGAGTCGTTTTAATAGAGGAGAGAAGCCTTTACGACTAAACTGCTCGCATATCGACAATCGAAGATAATTAATTAATTACAGCGAGCGAGCGGTGGCAATATAAGTAGCGATGTTCGCTTGTGTTTCTTGAACTATAAATCAAAACGATAACAAGTATACTTCCTTTGATATCATGGTTACATGGCACGCTAAAATTCTAAATTCTATAGGAAAATTGTTGG